AATCGAGAATGCTAGAGTAGGTAAAATCTATAATAAGGAATTGATCTTTATTCTTGAGACGAAGCATGAATAAATTTTATAATTTGTTGAGCACGTTGTTCGATATTATCGAGACGAGCTTGGATAATTGCACGCATTGAAGGAGGAAAGCATTCCATATATAATAATTGGTTCTTTTGATCATTACCATCATTGTCGAATTCATTTTGTTTCATATTTGTTATTGAACGATTACCTGGAATTATTCCTTTAACCATAACTTGATCACTCATTGACCAACGTTTCTTTTGTTGACTAATAACCTTCTCACATGCTCTTAATTTTGATCGCCAAATTTGTTGAGTAGAATAAACCTATGAGAAGAATAAGAATAAGAGAAAGTTAGGCTAAATAAAATATTCGCCTGTTCTTCTATTGGATTTAAATCATAGAATGATTTGACAAGATTTGCATCATTGATATCATACGTAAATAAAATTTTCTTCTGTTCGAAATTTGTATTGAAATGATGCAAATCATTCTGCATGAGAACAAAAAGAGCATTGCATATGATATTCATCCATTGTTAAAAAGATATTTTATCATCGTTCATTTTTAAATTTGATGAATATCGTTGTAAATAATTGTATAAATTAATTTCTAGCCGTTGTAATTTATTTCGAATGAGATTTTGTTGATATTGAATATTTAGTTTTGTTTTCGAATGATCCCAATTAATGAAATTTTTTTCTGTTACATCTTTCGATACTTCTGATAACCAAGCCACAACAGGCATGTTTAAATTGCCAATGTAGTACCAATAATCTTCGATTTTCAATTGAAAGGAAGTACATATGAATATAGCAAGTTGTTGTGAGAATTGTAACATTTCAGTATTTGCTAACCATTGTTGAATCTGATAATGATCCGTTGGAATAGTTTTGCAGAGTAAACGTTTGAATTCATGGGAAGACAAGATCTTATAATTTGGTAAGAGTTTGCATGTCAGTTTCCAATCTTCTGTAGGTAAATCGTAATGGTTTTTCATTTTTTGATGTGTTCTTGAAGGTGATGAATTATTGCCTTGGTTCTATACAAAAGAAAAACATCGTATTTATTTTTTGTTCATCATTTGATCGTACTTGGTTTCCATAGAACATGCACACTTAAATATCCTTATTAGCATTCCTGACTAAAAAAGCATCCATCATTTTATCGTGGTCTGTTTCCCGATGAGTTTGATGAATGAAATTATTGATTTGATGCATTGTCAATAATATTTTTACGGTTTGATCGTTCATTCCTCGTGCTCGACATTCCCTGCTATAGCGTTGGAGTCGCCGATTACCACGGGATTTTTTCTTCTTCTTTAGTTCCTTCTTGTTATTCTCAAAGTTTTGTTTTTGTCCAATGAATATTTGTGTTTGTGAAGGTAGTTCATACCAACCAGCTTGAGCATTTGAACTTGACATTTTGTTTGAACCTTTATTATAGTGTATATTATCAATATTACTATCTAAGAAAAAAAACTTATTAGCGAAGCCTCAATGAAGCTGAGATGTGGAACTTAAGTATGTTTTCTAGCCTCGCTAAACTAATACAAAATATGTAGAGCGAAAAATTTCTAGTACATTACTATATAAAGTAAGAAATATAGTGAATATATGAGATAGAAAACAACATTTTCTCATACCATCTAAAGAAAAAAGTAACTAGAAGAAATACAACAATAAAAAAACAATCGCTTTAGTGATCATAATAATGAATTTTTTAAAGTGAGTAAGACAATAGGAGTGATAGTTCAGAATGTATTAAAATTTTATAGTAATATATTATTGACAAAAAAGTTTAACTATACTAAGAACATAACAATAAGACACATGCAGAAAAAAAAAGAAGAATAAAATGACATGTATAAATTGCAATAGATGGCTAAAAATCAAGCATTAGAAATATCTAAATGTATAGAAATATAAAGAAATAAACATTTAAAATTGACTACTCTCACTTTATAGATATGTATTATTCGATCGAGCCAAGAGAGTATTCGATGAATAACAATGTTTAGTATTAAGTTTGATTTTTAATCTATATTTTTTAAACTCTGGATCTTGCTCGAGAATTGTAGACCAATATTGATAAAACTTTTG